GGACGGGCCTGTCACCGCACAGGCACCGCACTCAGGCGTGCGTGCGGGTGTCCGTCATAAACATAGCTGACGACCTCAAGCCATCCGTCACTCTTCCGTTCCCAGCCCTCTCCTCATCCCTTGAGACTGATGGCCGCAGGTGGCCCAGGAGAAGAGGATTAGCGAGGCTGCAGCCGTGTCAGCCACACCCGTAACTGAGCTGCGATCTGCCGACTCGGCCGGCGACTCCGGTGCCGCCTGGCTGCCGGCCGGGGCGGCGCGGGGCGGCGCGGACAATGCAGGAGTGGTGCGCTGAATGGCACCGCGCCGGCGGCCGGCAGCCGACACGGCCCGCTGCCGACGGAGCGCGCTTCCGGCCGGCCCGCCGCCGCCGGACGGCAGGTCACACTACTCGCCCCGGTCACAGGCGGTCAGGTTATGCTGCTGACCCCGGACACAGGGGTCAGGTCACGCCGACGACCGGGGGACGACGGTTGGCCGTGCCGCTGACCCGGCTCGCAGGAGACGAAAGGTCACACTGCTGATCAGTGTCACGTGCTCGACCCGGACCAGCGTCGAGTCGGGCGGCACGTGTCTGGGCCACCTCCTACGGCTTCCGCCACGACCCCCGCCCAGAGAAAAGACCGTGTCCGGGCCGAGCGCCGAGGAATGCGCCTGTGGGCGGGGGCTCGGCCGGCCACATCACCCCAGAGCACGGCGTGCAGGGCCTGGCGTTCAGGGAGCTGGTGCCTCCCGGCGGCTGTCTGGCACGGTTCGCACGCGGTAGTACTGGAGGTCAGCCAGGCGGTCGGACAGGCAGTACCTTGGTCACCGGCCGGCCATTCGACCAGCGGTCAGAGACTTTATAATTAACTGAGTAGCGGCGAGCATGGCGGTTACCGCCCGGCTAATTTAACTGCAAACGGCAAATAGCACAATGTCGATGAACCAAAAATCTAGCCATTCGTGAAGATTCGGCGTGATTAGCATGCTTCCCATGGAAGCGAGCTATAAAGGCGGAACTAAATAGGCCATCTCGTCAAGACGTGCGGACCTTTTACGTGGGCATCGAGCACGATCTCGATCTAAAACTATAGCGTGAAGAAATGATACCGATGCGCGTTCGAGTGGAACAGCCGAGCCCTCGGCGCGTTCACGCGTCACTGACCGTCCCAGCCGGTGGCCCGGCCGGCGGCGGCGGAGGAGCTCCGCCCGTCAGCCGCCTCACGGTCGCCCCCTCACGCACCTGGCGCCGGCGCGAGCAGCGCGATTAGCCGGGCGGATCAGCTGGCGAACCCAGTCGAGTACGACGGCGCGGCCAGCGGCTGACACCTCGTCACGTGTCGGCAGCCTCGGCCGGGCCGCCGTCGTCTGACGGCCGCCCTAGTCTGGAACTCGGGCGAGCCCGCCACTCGGGCTCGCGCGGGCGTCCAACGGATGAGCGCGCAGGCGGCGCTGCTCGAGCGCGTACTCACCAGTCACACGCGAGAGCTCGCGCGTCCGCCAGCCGCCAGGGTACGGTGACACTGTGCACCCCCTCCGAGGCCCGCGCACGGTACCACTGCGCCTCCGCTGCCGCCGCCGCCGCCGCCGCCGCCGCCGCCGGGCTACTGGAGCTGGCGCCGACCCGCGCCACCCGACGGTCGGCACCGGCGCCACCTGGCGGGGCGGCGTCCTCCGAGAGGTCGCCGGAGCTGCCGCACGGCTGGGCGTCCTCCCAAAGGTCAAGGGTGAGATGCTGAAGATGGGGACCGTCCGGGACGTGACAGGCGGTTGGGCGCCCTCTGCGGGGTAACAGGTTTCTACCGGGTAGTTGAATTCCCCTCTGGGTCGCGGGGGGACACGAGCTGGATCGGCGTCCTCGAAGAGGTCACAGAAAGCTAGCAAAATATTGCAACCTTGGTAACGTCGGTCAGTGCGCAGTGTGAATCATCGGATACCGCCGCGCGCGTCGTAACGTACGCAATCAACCCTGAGCAAACATCTCATCATCAGAGCAAACGCGTCCAGCTTTTTGCAGCCTCGATCACAAGTCACGCACGGCACGCCAACTGCATGTGCAAGGGTCAGTGAACAATGTGTCCATCACAATAGCGGGCGGCAGCGTGATCCAGAGACCCGACTGACGGGAGATCAACAGCAAGCTGGAATTACGGCTCCGTCGGCGTCCTCGTCAAGTTCAAAAGAAGACACTAAACTAGATCAGCGGGTTTTATCGTGCAGCCGACAGGAAATAGCAAGAGAAAAACCAGCACCATCAATTAGCCCAATGTTTTAATCAGCATGACAAATGAGCGCTCCTCCATCACCAGACCCCACCCGACCTGCGGTCAGCGCGACACGGAGGCGTTACGGTACCCGACCCGGCCGATCGGGGTCCCTCAGTGTTCCAAAGCACGCGGCGTGACGGCGTTTCCAGCGACCTGCGGCGGCGGCGGCGGCGGCGGCGGCGGCGCGGCCGGGCCGACTCCGAGCCCGCGGCGGCTGGCCCAGTCCCGGCTCCTGGGGCGGCTGGTCGTGGCACTACGCTAGGTCGGTCATCCCAATTTCGGGGGGTGACGCAGAGCGGGCCGCCCGGCCGCCCACGCGGTTTTGGCTCTGCCGCTCCGACCGACCGGAGGCGGGGCCGGAGGGGCTCCGGCGCGGACTGCTCCCAAATCGTGGAACGACTCAGATGCTATACCCTATTGCTGTCCCACGACCATGCCATCACAGAGCGCCTCAGTTGTAAATCGCAGTACGCCATTCGTGTGGCACCGTCCGAGCTGCACCCTAATGGTGCTGCACAATTGGTGCTACACATCATCGCCGCTCGCACAGCGGATCCTAAGCGCCACTCGTGCCGCACAGCTAATGCTACGTATCATCCGTGCGTGGGACGGACCACGCCTGGTGCTACACGGCTGGTGCTACACACCGCCCTACTCGAACAGGCCGCTGCCACATGCACTCTGCTTGGGTGCATCTGACGCTGCATGTCGCTCGTGCAGCACGACGATTTAAAACAAAAGCGCTGTTGCATCACCGAGGACGTCACCTCTGGAAACTTCAAGGTTATCGGTGTGTGCGCGCTCTCTCCAGATGAATTCCACCTTCGCTACTATGTGTGCACAAACCTTGTGGTACGGCTGTATGCGGTCGGGCACGATCAAGCGCACTGGCGTTGCGCAAGATGGGCTGAATTCATTTTTCGGTCTGCCGAGCTCCCGCCTGCGGTGTCAACCAAGACTGATCCACCCGTTAATCCAAGCGACGACAAACGGATTGAGATTCGCAGGCGGCAACGCTTGGTCGCTCTTTCTGGGTAAGATCAAATCCGCGCTGGACTAGAGCCTCCAAACGGGACATTGATCGTTCCGTCTGGCAAGAGTAGGTCACGGGAGAGCCGGGTGGTTGAGCAGCTTGCACTTTGCAACTGCATTGGATAACTATCCAAATCATGAAAAGCTGGAGCTTCGTTTCGTTGTTGCTGATGGCTCAAGCGTCCGTGAAAGCTTGCTGCACTTGCGGGGGCTGAACCATGAGATTCGCCGCACAAATTCTCCCTCTCCGACGCATTGTTCTGCCAGCAGGCAAATCCACGACCCGCACAGCAGATCTATCCGTCCCTGGCATGACTTGACTGTCATTACGAAGCTAATTTCCACTACAAGCACCAGTTCATCTCCGGGCAGCCGGCTTGAACTCCGCCACCAGACCGCTTTGTCTTTACATCGATTTGCATGCTGCCCGTAGCAAAATACCCATCTCACGCACCGATGTCCGGCAACAAAAAGCGTCGGCCGGCCGTCGGCGCCGCCGGTACCGTTGCCGCCTGCTGGGCGGCTTGTTTTTCCCGATCGGACGGGCGCGCGCTGGCGGCGCCTCGCGCTCCGTTACCCGGCTCCGCTCCGGCCGCGGAGCCGGCCTCCGGTCGGTGACGGAAGTCGGCGCCCCGGCCGCGAAGACGGCGCGAGCGCCTTGCCGTTACCGTACGCCGTCGACAGCCGGCGGCGCCGACGCGGGATTTTCGGCGGCGGCGGGCGGCGGCGGCCGAGCGAGCGAGTGACGCCCCCCCCGCGGAGCTGCGGGGCCGGCGCAGGGCTGCGAACGGCGGGCCCCGGCGCGGCCCGCTTCACCAGCTAGGCCTGCCAGCACGTCGTCTCGGGAGCCGTCCCCAGAAGCGTGCACGAGAGCGGGCCGGCCGGTTCCGGGAACGCTGCTCTACCGGTCGGGCCGTGCGGCTCCATGGCTCCTTTACGACGGGGCCGCCGGCGCCGGCACCGACCGCGGCTCCGGCTGACCAGCGCCGCCGGCCGAGCGGAGGAGGTGGCGTTCTGACGGCAGGCGCGCACGCGCGGAGGAGCGCCGCACCCGGCCGGACCTCCGCGGCAGAGTTACGGTCACGGTCGGCCAGGACAAGCCAGGAGAGAAGAAGAGAGGGCAAAACGGTCCGACAGGGGGACGAACAGCTGTCCAGATCACAGTAAGTCTGCACACCCGCGACACAACGTGGCATCCGCGCCCTCGGACGAAGCGCGCCCGGATCTCCGCCCCGCCATCGGCCGCTGTGCGCGAGAGCGGCCCGCCGCCGGTGGATGACGCTGCGTCTCGGCGGCGGCTCTCCACCCGGCTGGGCCCCTGCCGACGACGCGAGCGGCAGCGCTCCGGCGCCGGGGCCGGCCGCCGCGGCGAGCTCCTCCCGTGCCTGGCGCCGGCCCCGGGCGGGCAGCCTTTCTCCGGCGGTCGCGAGATGCGCCGTTTCACAAGCGACGCATGACGCAGCCGTTCGGTGTCGCTTTGTGTCGCCGAGGAGCAGTCCAGGGTGGCCCACATGGCGGGACGGGCCTGCGATGCGTCCCGACTGGCAGTGCTTACGTTCGCGCGCGCGGCGACAAGAAGCAGACATCCCGAAATCACGCCGGTTACGTCGATTACGCGGGCTGGGATTGCTCGTGGACAGCTGAAAACCTCGCCCAAAATTCCACGTCACATCCGGCGCTGTTTGCCCCATCAGACCGTAACAATAGCCCTTAGCGTTC